CTGTCACCGATAAGAACTTCTTGGATCCAGCTGGCTATGGGCTTCCTCTGGAGTTTGTCGAAGTTTGTTCAGTTACACTTTATTGGTAATGTTGAAGGTCTCCTAAGCATCCATGTTACGTATTGTTTCAGGTTCTCCATCAAGGTGGCGCTGGTTGCAGGAGCAGTGAAGCTTTCAATAGACAACGACATTTGGTCTCTAAGCACTACAAATGTTAGTTCCTTCTCAGAACGGCACATGATTTATCTTAGAGCGCGTTCAGACTTCGTATCGCGTAAACCAGATCCCGCGGACTAGATAGCGCGAATGGTTCGCGCGATTGGGATGGGTGAAATTCAAACAGAACGGTAACTTCAGTAGGCGAACAAACAATTCTCAATCAAGTAAGGATCTGTCGTAGTTTCAAAGACGGCGAGCATCGGAATGGGGAAACAGAATGCCTAGAGTCGTTCAGGTTTCACCTACAACTTTATTCTTGAAGCTGTGGATAGGGCTGACTATGGATCTCGTACTCGTACTATATTTCAAAAAAATTATGCTTGTCATCATTCCTCGTATCGCACGAAACCAACAGGAAGCAAACAGGCAGTGATAAACACACGACAAGGAGGCTATACTGTCATCAGAACCATATATAAGGAAAGATAATAATCACGGAGCGAATGCGTGACCTGTGAAGGAGGAAACATGCGCAACCATTTTGTTCTACCACTCTAACAGTTCTCAGGGGAGTTTTCGGAACATGTTCATCTGTGAAATACTTCAACAAAATGCCTCACTAATAAAGGCTCCACTGCAATGTCATGGGAAATACTGACCCAAGCGCGGGCTATTTTGATGAGTGCCATTGGAATCCGATTATACAAGTGCAGTCTAAAAAGAAAAATGGCACTATTGAACTAGTACCCAGTCTGCCGAAATGAAGCCGGTTTTTTAACGACTTTTTTCTACAAGGGCATATTTGGCTGAAAGTTTGCTTTTAGGACCTCCTGAGCACGGAAATCACATCCGCTTCGCTTGAAACTGCCGCACCACAGGTGCCAACGCCAAAATACCCTAAGCCAACAAATCCTCTGAAAATTTGTTCCTAGGAATAGTGTAACGCCCTGAACATGAATATCGTATCCGCTTGGGCCAAGATCGCTTGGCGCCGCGCCACAGGCGCCGTCGCCAAAACATCCTATGTCACCAAAATCGATGAAAACTTCTGTAAAGTTATTAGAGTGGTTATTTGACATCCTTTTCACGAGTATGACATTTATTCTTGGCGCCGGCTTTAACGTAGGACAATATGGTCATCTGGTCATCTGCGTTTTGCTAACACTGAGCCTGGCCCCAAGGGAATCACTTTTCCCTGGTTCAGCTCCAGCAGAACGCTAAATGTAACGAACGCTAATGAACGCTGGTATAGAGAAATAAATGCCATAGTCGTGATCAGGGCATCAAACAACCCTATTACGCAAGTTTTTATCGATTTCCGGAAGAAAAGGTGGCGCCAGCGTCAGAAATGAATGTCATATTCGTGATCAGGACATCGAATAACATCTATAGACAAAGTTTCAGCGAAAAATTTTTTTAGTTTTTGGGGTAGGAATAGTTCAATAGTGCCCTAAAAACTCAAGGCGTTATGCACAGAAAGGAAAGGAAGAAGGAAAAGAAAAGAAAGAACAGAAACATTAAACATGAACAAACATGAACGCGGCCCTGTGAATTTCACCCATCCCAATCGCGCGATCGCGAAGTCTGAACGCGCTCTCAAAAGGAGAATGTTCGCCGCTTCTACCAAAGTCGCAAATGTACGGCTTGTGCCTAGTTAGCAACGAACGGAAGGAGGACAGACAGTAGT